GTACTTTAGGATATTTCCCTAAGCAGTGAAGTATGCAGAGGCTCACGGCACTGCATTGGAAATACAATAGTTACAGAGGACCTTTAACTGCCTATTTCATACAGACAGAAAGTCCCACGTCAGTCACTTGCGTGGAGAGTGAAGAACAGAGTAGCATCTCTGCTATCACAGCAGTCTTCCCAGGGAGAAATCAAATGAAGCCGGAACAGGCAATAACCATGAAGCACGTAGAGGAAAGAGTTGTCCTCTCCCGACCAGAGACACGAACAGAGTACTTCCAATCCCACAAGCAGCAGGGTACATTGGGGAGGCTGAGTTCATTCACACAATCAGAATGAATATACCTACCTGGATCCAATCTCCCTCTCTTAATTACTTGATTTTATAACACATTGCTAAAAATTCTTCCCAACAAAAAGATGCGAAAGCAATGAAGACAAACATAAGCAGAAGTACAATGATCCTACTGATCCTTTTGTAACTAACCAAGCATAAACACGGATTAAACAGAGCTAACTTCTGTTTACCGTTGCAATGACAAAATCACTTTTAGAAGAGTGTTTACAAAAAGGACATATTGTTTCAGGCCTTCAGAGATCTAGCTCTCTGCAGAAATCATTTGTAACAGTCAAATGTTTACCATTTACAGCATTTCAAACAGGGTAACTCCAGGAACTGGAATGCACCCGCCAGATGGTGAAAGAAATTAAACTCATGACATGGTTCAGTAATCAGCAAATGACGATAAGACGGAGGTGCTCCCCACCCAGGGACACCTGCTGCACTCAGGAACTTTCCGGGACCCTGCTGAAACGCACCAAAACTTCCTTGACTTCTGACAGCGTAACGCCAACTGGTAAAAGTTAACTTGACGGGTTACCTTGAGACTGAAGGCCACCATGCAGGCAGCCCCACAACAGCTCTCCTGGCTGTCCTCTTCACTGGGAGCTCGTCTCCAGCAGAGCCTGGCCACGCTCTCCAGGCAGATAACTACGTGCCGTATGATTAGGAGGCTTAGCTACGGGGCATAAGGGATTCGTGCAGGCCTGTGCTGGAAATGGAAATTGGAGATATTTTCATTTTCACTTAACCTACTTAAAAACAAAGGAAAACGACACTCTAAATTTATTCAGTGCCACTTAGATAGGACTGCATGCTCTGGGTTGCAGGGGAGTAAAAAGGGCTGCTTACAGCACATTGAAGAACCTGTCCCAGTACTGCAAATCAAAACTGTAACTGAACATCCAAGTTGTAAAGTCCTGGAGAAGGGCCAGACAAAACACCCCATATCTGAGCCTGCTCCCTTCCCTGCAGGAAGGATTAGCCCCTCGGAAGACTTGGCATTGCTTTTCTCTTTCTTCCTGGTGGGTGGCGTCTGCCAGGAACACGGGCAGGACACAGACTTTGGCACACAAGCGACTAGAGACAGACGCAGTCGTCGTCACCTGTCCTAACACAGCCGCAGGGCTGAACACGCAGGGACCGTGTGGAAGGACGCTATGCGGAGGACCCCCTGCACCCAGCCTGCTGCCACGTCCTTCCGCGCGCTTGCATGCTTCCTGCTCGCATTTCATATAATCTCCCCATTTAACAAGCTCTGTAATTCTGAACATTACAGCTGAATAATATATTTATTAATTTGTTAGTGCTACTAACTGTCCCCGAGGCTTTCCTTGGGAATGTGTGTCAGCTTATTGATTCTAGCCCTCCCCTCTTAGCATTGCTTTCCTCTTCTGCCAGGCAGGCAGGAATGTACTTCTGTGCTGCTCCAGGTCATAATTGGAAAAAAGATAGAAATGTTCAATATGACTCATACATAATTCAGCTTATCAGCTACCCAGGAGAAATGAGAAGAGGAGGTATATGCACATCTACTTCTCCCGCTATCAACGGGAGAAATAATTTCCAGCTCCACTAAGTATACGTAGTTTGGTCACAACAGGATTTGTAGTTAGAAGGAAAAAATGAGAAACACGGGAGCAGAGAATGAAAGAGATGGTAGGGAACTGAACTGTTAAAAGAGATTCACTTATGTGAGAATCCCCAGTTCCTCCAGGAGACTGGACTCATGCTTCTCTCCTAATACTCAGAATGGAATAAGTTGGCAATTAGAAAGGATTATCTGCCTCTGATCCATAAAATATAGCAGAAATCTAAATAAAATAAAGCTCTAGATTAGGTAGCTACAAAGACATCTTATAACAGCCCACTAAACCCTGACTGTGACCTCTGGATTTGACATTAAGGCCTATGTTCTACAAAGCAAATTGTGAAGAAGCATTAAAACTTATTGTTATAAAAGATTTTTAATGTAAAAATCAACGTGTGCTGTGTATTTAGCAGCACGTAACCACGAGGATGTCTGTAATGGGGCTTTGCCATGCACCAGGGACCACCACATTAGTCAAATTCTTGAAAGGAAGTGCAGAATGTCTGCACCATTCAAACTGCCACCTGAGAGCAATTGCAGAAATTATTTTAACCCCAGAAGCAGAGGGAAAACCCAATCCCAATTGACTGCCTTGAGGTTATCATCCTTTCATGTGAAAAGTGTCATTTCCAAATACCTCTAAAATTTCACGTTAGGAAAAGTCATGGAGTAACACAGAGGCGGGACACAAACACTAGTCTTTGGGAGTCTGTCGAGACCATTTGGACACAACCACAACCAGGCCACAGACTTGCAACATCCACTTTGCCAATGCCCGGCCAAGGAAAGGAATACTAGTCACATAAAGGATTCATGCTCCCCAAACGCAGAAACGGTATAATCTATGGCCACAGCTGCCATTTGATACAATGAAAGGCGGCGGACAACACAGAGCAATCGGATGGCATGGCTGAAAAATAAGGACTCATTCACAGAAAGTCTAAAAAAAAAGAGATTAAAAAGAACATATTAATACAGATGCATCATAGCAGAGCTCACCTGCTTCACCAGGTAAGCCAGCATGAGAGGCACATGCACCTCTTCCTCCATATGTGTAAGCAAGCTCACAACTGTATATACATGAGCACATACGAATTGTCATACAGCAAACGTTTCTTAATTTTATCATTATGAGCGCGCCCAGCAAGGGTTCGATGCTTTTCAGTTAGAGAGGAAAACGCAGCTCTCAACCTGCAGATTGTTTTTGGACTTACAGGATCATGTTAAATTAGCATTATTCATGATTAAAGGAGGTTTCCAAATGGAAAAGCATGCCTGGTGCCTGTGTGATAGTGACTTTTGCTTCTGTGGCGCATAAGCCATGCAAACATATCTTTTCCTTTCTCCGGTGTTTCCTAATGTTCCCTATTTATGCGCTGGTCTGCAAGTTTTACCTCATCAGGAACTCAGCGGGAGCGCCACAGAGCTGAGAAATACCCTTGTGCTCCTTTATAAAATGCAGGTCTCTATGGGCCTTTGAACATTAACACAGAGCAAATAAAAAATTAGCATGTGCGTGCACGTGCATACATCTGTAAGATATATAAAGGCAACTGCAGCCAAAGGAAACAGGAACGTGCCTGCAGCAGTTGGGTATTCAAATATCCAGCACCACAAAAATCCAGTTGTAAGAGCCATTTAAATGCAGATCCGCAAGTAAACTGCTGAAAGAGCTCCACTGAGCTTTATGTACCCACAGACCCAGCTGGAAAGGCAAGAAGTGTCAGGAAAAGGACTTGTTTCTCTTATCTAATAATTTTCAGGTCTACAGCATCTGCTATCCATCTCTTAACACTACTGCTAAAGAGCAAGGTGCCCCTCTAAGATGCCCAACTTCCAGAAACAAGATACATAGTTCACATCACGTGCTGTATGACTTCTACCATTCCCATCACCACGGCGTCTGAGCAAATTACAGCAATTTAATGTATTCATCACCACATACTAGAGAGGAAAATATGATTATCTCCACATTATAAAAGGGAAAGGGGGAACTAGGTACAAGTAGTAACTTATCTGGAGAAAACTGTGGCGGAGCAGGGGAACAAATGGCTTCACTCAGGCACGGCGGGCAGAGTAACTGCTGGATAACCTGTCTCCACTGCCACTGCTGGCCATAAGAAAAACTTCACCCGAATTCGATGATCCAAAGGTTACAACAATAAGTGCTTTCCAGTCTAGTTTTTTCATTACTCAAAAGTTTCTCCATCGATCCATACAGATCAAGCAATTTGTTTAAGCCTTTTCCTGCTTGTCTTAGGAAATGCAAGGAAAAAAAATCCACTCAGCCAAATACCCTGGATTTGTAACATTTCGGCGCACTTACAAAATCCTATATATAAACAAATATGACAACACATCGATGTACTGAAAGAAAAAAAAACATTGCCTTAAAAGCAGACAATAATTCTGACAAGCTAATATAAAAAAGTTATCAAATGATCACAAGCCTTTCATAACTAACACACAGTTTTTCCACAAAACATACCACTTGGCGGGGGGAACGCAGTAAGCAGAATAAAACCAAACCATACAGCAGACAAGGATCAAAATCATCTATTCTTTCTTAAAAAGCAGAAACAGAATAACAAGTTGTGACTGCAGTGAAACATAAAACCAGTTGAACTCCACATCAAACTCAAAATCTGAAGACTAACCTGAAAACCTGTTCAAAAAGAATTGTGCTGATTTAATCCAGAAGGTGCAGCAACACAGAGTAAGTTTCTGACTGCCAGACACAATAATACCCTGAAGGCGGGTATTATATCAAAGCAGGCAGAGCTAGGCCTCCAAGGTAGAGGTAATACACCTCAGTCGGACAATTTAACTAATGCACTTTTAAGGAAAGTTCAGAATCTGCAATCCTTTCTGCTCATGATTATCTGAAAAATAAAAGCTTCTCTCACTAAAAGAAATCATAGCAACTCATACTAGAGGAACATGACTTTTCCAAACCAATCTAAACATCACCACGTCATTTAAGATCACCACACAGACAGGCAGCTATCAAAACCAAAAACCATGTCTTCTGCCACCTAAAGACATGAAAAAACTTCCCACTTACCTTCTAACACTGTTAATTTGGCACTCGTGTTTATCTCCCCAACGCTATTGGTTGCTGTGCACTCATAGATAGCTTCATCTCGGTGAACGCGCAGGGGCTGTATCCGCAGAACTGATCCTGACCCGTCATCAAACTCAATAACCTTTAACAACGAAAAGAAAACAGTTCTTTGTCGATATCTACTGCAACAAAACTGAAAGTCAAAGCAAACCAGGGGTTAAAAATAAAACAAGAAGCCCTGTAAGCTGTAAAATGCCACGCAACTCGTCAAGCATTCCAAGTCCAGCAATGCAAAAATCAGGGTCATGAACATACTTGTCCTCTGAGGAGGCCAGAACAAATGAAGATCCAATAAGGTTCTTTATGAATCAATTAAGGTTGACAAATTATCAGCCTGGTAATAAAGATGTGGATCTGATGATTTAAAACATCTGAGCCCTATTTGCACTAATGGTTTTACTAATCACACCGATAGCAATTTAGTGCCAACTTTCACCTTGATAGAAGAGCAGAATGATGTACCTCTGCGGGATTACAAGGAAAATAGTAACAAAACCAGAGCAACACCCTGAGCACCTTCAGCACATGCTAACTTCAGCAGAAGGTGAGGGTTTTTAATGCCCTTCAGCATCAGGCACTTTGCAATCTCTGATCAGCAATGATATCAGTACAATTCCTTCCCCAGCATAATAAATAAGGTCCTTAATAAATCATTGCCTTTCCATGCCACTAAGCTGGAACATGCATTACTCTAACTTTTAAAGAGAAGAAAGAGGAACTTGTTAGTTTACTGCTGGATCACTATAAGCTCTTCCTAAATGGCAAGTCTGTGAAGGCACAGCCGCAGGCCACTGTTAATGCCAAACTCATCCTTCTCCTCTTAGCGACTACAGCAAACGCTGGAAATATTAACTGAACTGCAGATGGTGACAACACCGGAGGGAAAGGCACAACTCCCCTCCTGTCACTTGGCTGCTTAAGCTAACCGTGCTTCGTTCCAGGGGCGCGCATCCAGCCGAGGACCTGCGTTACCTCCCTGCACAGGTTTGACCCTATTTTCGGAAGCCTGTTTAGAGGTGCTTCTCACAGTGTGAAGGCCACAGGAGTGAAAACAGGAAGAAATAAAAATAAAGTGCACCACAAGACTCTGCAATGACAGGACACAGGAAGGAGAAACAGGAAAAACTGAAAAGGTAACTGAGAGCACTGAAAATCTGGTATTCCTCATGCCGGAAGGAATAACCCTTCTGCTGAAAGTAATATAAATGGATTGCAGAAAACCCTAATTTGGGGTCAAGAAATAGCAGAGAGGTCACAGAAAGGCAAACGCTACTGTAATGAATTTTAGGAAATGAAAATAATTTTAAATAATATTAGATTTGAAATTAAATTTGAAACAGGGACAAAATGTTAAACTTACTATAATCTTTCCACAGCAAAAGTCTACCACCAAATTTTAAAAGATGACACAGTCAGATGCAGAGAGAAAAATTTCTTTAGCTCAGTCAGTTCAACTAATTCAGTTCAACGACAGTTAATGAAAAGCTAAGAGATGAAACAGCAGAAAAGCTCATTTTCCCTTTCTATCCTTTGAATAAACACTCTGTTGTGAGATGAAGGGAGCTACAACCACTAATGACCTGATGGAAATTGAGACCAGAAACACTGTTCAATTTGCTAACTATGGGTACCTCTATTATATAATAACTCAGCATGTATAAGTTAGATTTGTTTATTGACTTTTTTCGTTTTAACTGAATTCCAATTTTTCTCCAGATAGGGACTAGTCTAATTAGGAGGTAAAATTAATGATCATCTAGCACAAAAGAAATGCATTTTTCACTATCTCCTAAACAATAAAAATGTCCCAGCTGTGCGTCAAAGTTGATGTGAATAAAAGTATAGAATAAAGGTATAAAATTGCTCACATAAGTGCATATAATACCGCATATCTTTCCGGACAGCCAGAGCAAGTACTCAATTCACTATAAAGGTTATATTTATTTACAGATCAGCATGTTTAAATGGCTACTATACAATGAAATTTAACCTTTATTAGGGAAAAATACCAATGTAAAACAAGATTGAAATTGATTACTTTAATCAAGGTTTCCTGCTCACATACAAAATCATGATTAAAATTCATGATTTGAATCAATCCATTCTGGGCAGAAAAGTCGTCTGAGCTCTAGTCAGAAAAGCAAAATTATCAAAGAGAGGGGATTAGGAGAAAGATGGCAGGGTGGTAAAAGGGTCACATTTCCAAAGGTGGTTTTAGAGGAAAAGAATCCAACTCCAAAAAGGAGAGCAGGGAAAAAGGTGGAGAGAGTAATTTGCCATTTAAAATATGAACCAAATTAGATAGGTCTTCAGAAGCATTTTTGATACGGGCTCTTCCTTCCTCCCTCCTCCTTCTCAGATTTTAGTCCACAAGGAAGTCAAACTACCCTTTGACGGGACTTTTTCATTCCTCTTCCATGTGCGCTTCCAGGAAGGATGGCAGTAACCCTTACTTACAAAGCTTTCTGATGGGGTTTTGGCATCCTGTTTTTGAATTTCACAAGGAGTAGCAGGCCAGGGAGCTGCCGTATCTGCTTTTGCAGCGGAAGCGAACTGCACTTAGATCTAACTTCTCTGCCATCCCACTGGGTGCAAGTCCAAGTCTCCCACCTGAAGAAGGAACTCCATAGGTGCGCCCAGAGTCATGCTCACCAAGGGCAATGCTTGCTCTACCAATTGCACTGCTGCAGGAGAGGAAACTTTCTTTTGCTCATCTAAAGCTCTAGACTTTGCCTTGCAGCACAGAGATACCTGGGCTGTGATGATTACTGTGTAGCTCAGAACTGCAAGCATTAGATCCGTTTCCAAAATTTTTTTTTTTGTATATACAATTACCTCAAAACGCTGAGAACTGACTTTCTTCCCCTTCTTCATCCATGTGATGCGAGGTTTGGGCTCCCCTGTTGCCTGACACACAAAAGAGGCCACTCCTCCAGAAATCCCAATCTGATCTTCAGGAGCTTTCATAAACGTTGGCTTGCCTGGAAAAATAACGAGATCACCCCCGTGAGGACACAACATCAGACAAGCAAGGAAAGTGTCGTGTTAATTTAAATTATAAGATAATTGGTGTTCCTACTACAAATCCAGGTTGAATGGCCTTGGCCACGCAAATTCAGCACAGACTGCAACATGACAAGCACAGTTTCTGCTCGAGTACCTTTTTTTTCCAGAAATGTATAAGGTCCATCTGGCTTTTCTGTAAATGAGGGCAACAAAGGGCTCCCCCAGCCCCCTGGGCATTCATTCAGGTACGTGACAATTTGGAACCATTTTTATGGTTTATTTTTTTTTAAAAATGGGTTTTTGCAGGTCTGTAACAGGGTCCTAACAATGGAAATTACAGAACAGCTGACGCACCAAATCCACAGAATATCTCATGTGTTGGCGTTAGTTTTCCTGGAAGCTGTTAAGATTCTGGCCAAAATTAACAGATACAATTTTAAGTGCACAATTAAGAACCTTTAACTTAATTTTAGATGTGGATCTACATAAAAATCCTACAGTGTTTAAGTATCCAGAAACCCGCACAGCGTGGCCTATGCATGGTAAGAAACTAATCACTGAAATATGGAAGTCAGTAAAGAAACTAAAGTGACATTCAGACCTGAAAGACTCAGCAAAAACGACAAAAATCATGCAACAACTTAGTAAAAAAAAAAAAAAATTTCACAGAAATACAGTTGTCTCTTCTGGATTTACATGACAGACTTGGATGAATATAATTAGGTATCTAGGTTAGGCAATAACATTTACATTTTTCTTGCGCACCAGCTGTCCAACAGGATTTTGTGACGTTTGATCCGAGGGCAGTTTTGAAATACTGCTTTGTCCTGCTAAAAAGCGTTTGATGAACTCTTATCCCCATAAAGCAATAAAACATTCAAACACGCGCACACGGAGTTAACCAAGTCCACCATGATGTCATCCAGTGTACAGGTCATGATAAGGCCATGTTTCAAATACTGCATACAGTTCGGATGAATCACTTCGAAGAAAAACAAACCTGACCCAGGAGCGGTGCAGAGATTCCCAGAAAGGGTGCAGAAAGGCCTAAGCGCCTGCGCCCCACGGGAAGAGGAGAGACCTGCGCAAGCCCCGAGACACGCCGAACCACGTGGCCCCAGCAAAGCGGGACGAGGCGGTGGTCTCTCGTCTTCTGAATCTGGACAAGTCCACGAGTGTGTCCTTGAGGGAGAGGGCGGGAAGTTTTTAAACGTTTGTGGTTTTTGCTCAGCGCATGAGGAACCTGCAGCAGAGATCCGTGATCTGGCAGGGATTCGGATTCAGTGACCCCAAGTCCCAGCCAGTCCCGTGGGCTTATTATCATTTATTTCAGTTACCTATCGCACACGTTCCTGCAGCTCAGGACGATGCCCAGGAAAAAGGGTATATCTCCTCACCTCCAGCAACCTTAAATCCCAGGAGCTACTCTAGCACGGACGCAAAATCCCGTCGAGCGGAGCGTGGCTTGTGGAAAACCGGGCAGCAGCAAAGAGCGCGTTTTCCCTGCCTTTATCAGGGCAGCTCCACTGACGGCCCTCGGGCAGGATGGGGCCCGCTTGGGGCCGGCTGCCGGCCTCCCCTCTGCTCGTGCAGCTGCTGCCCCTCCGGCACCAACGCGTTGGGCCACCACCGCCCGTTCCGCACAGCCCACGAGGGACAGTGCCAAGAATGGTTTAAGCCACCACGGCTGCAGAATTAGGAATGTGCTGCTTTAAGAAACAAAACAGGCTTTAAATGTATTTTCCCGATGTATGGGAGATTAAAATGCTCCGTCATACATTGCAGCCGAGCTGGCCTGGAAGCATGCTGCTGCTGGCGAGGGAAGGGGGCCTGGCTCTCCTGGCACCCCGGTCCCAGGCGTTTCTCCCTCCCCTGCCTCTGCCACGTGCTCCCACACCTCTAGAAGCAGCTTGGCGCTCACAGAGCCTTTGCAGAGCAGATTCAGGCCCATAACCTGGCAGAAAGCTTTTTTCCTGTTGTTTTTAAAGCAGGCTGGGCAGCAGCACTGGCTCAGTGCAGGACCAGACAGGATCTGGCTCAAAGTAAGGGAGGAGAAGCACGTGGGTGGAGGTGGGGCAGAGGAAGACGGGGCCTCTCCTTTGGCCCCTGCAACCTAGTATATCACCTAAAGCTGCAAAGCGCAACTTTGCGCTTAGACAGCAACCTTTGAAGACTGTTAAAACTGTGGGACCTCCTTGAACCCAACTTCAACCTCTATTGTAGCATATGCTAACTGCTCACGCCAAAATCCACTGCCCCCACAGTCTAGCCAGCCTGGTGCAGTGTAGCTCAATACCTCATTCAAGACCAGCTAAACCAAACAATTTACTGTAATTGCGAGCTTTACAAAGTCAAAAGGCCAAGCCCTGCCCCCTTCCAGAGACCAAGACAGCGCTGCCTGAGATGCTTCTCCGTTCCCACGAGACAACACAAGCCGCTTTGGCATCAAGGACAAGAGCAGACCAGTCACTGCTGCCTGGAGAAGCAACCACCCCGGAGGTAGCTCATGACAATCTTAATACAGGGGGCTGCTGGGATACAATCTCTTGAGTTTCGAAGCCGACAGATAACAGAGCTCTGCAAAACATGCAACATCGAATGCTCAACACAAACTGCGAACTCGTGCTGGGAAGCCCACCAGCAGAGTTACGCTGATGACCACACGCATCCAAGGCGCAAGCGGTTGCAGAGCCTAAGTGACACTAAGCTGCAGGTCTGGACCTCTATTACTGCTACGTGCCCCACATCGTTCCCAGAAGGCAGATGGTGCATCCACTGGAGTCACTGCTCTTCACACGCGCACAGATATACGTGCTCTGTCCTCAACAAGCTTCTGAAGAAAAAAAACAGACCTGACCCAACCACGGAAATTCATCGCGCACACACACACAAGTCCACTAAACTACTCAAGCAGCGACACTGAATTTCACCATCCTTGGTGAAGGGACCCCCAAAGACTGAACAAAGAAAATCAGTTTAAATTCCAGAAGACTTTCAAGGCATGATGGCTGCCTATCTGCAGTCTTTGGCACACTGTCCTGACATTAACAGTAAGCAATTATTAACTGTGCTTGCTTAACTGACATTGATTTCACATATTTACTCATCTATAATCATGCCTATTTCTATTTAGTTTATATTTACATATATCTGTGTTTATTCACCTCTCATCTATCCCAGTGAAATGTTAATTTACTGTTCACGCGGCTAGTGATTGCAGTGTGATTGACTGTTTTGCAATGCAGTGTGCTGAGCTGATGTCTTGTATTGCATTTCAGGAGTTGATTTGTTCTTTTGATTTTCTGTTATTTACTCTGTGATCTTAGTAAAATAGCGTAAATTTATCAAGTGAGAAATACAGCAGAGTCCAAAACTTTGTCCTTGAAGAATACAATGCAATTATATTTCTCATTGTACACCTACTCACTAGCTTGCATGCTGAAGACTTACTTTACTTTTGTACATTAAAAAAAAAATCAATACTATTAAAAACAGAACAAAAGGAAACTGAACATTCACAGGGAGTAAAACCTAAAAAAACCTGCTGCCTTGTTCAGCTGGAATTTACATTGTTGTAATGAATTTTTCCCCCTTGCACATTTAACTGAGCAACACTGATTTCTGAAAGCCATCTAAATCCACAGGGAATGGTCACAGAGGTATATCTGTATATAAACCACATTCTCAGACAGTTTAGGAAAGGGGATTTCTTCAAACCAATTTAAAATACTTGTGCGCCCTAAAGTTTTAAAAGGAAGGAAACCACTAATTAAGCAATTCTAAAATCCTGGCCCCTGGACAACAGAGTGGGACATGGGCATACATGTTTTCATACCTACTGGTAACTGTTATAGCAATTCTCAAAACTTATCTGAGTAACAGCTAGCAAAAACGTCACAGACTATTGATGGGATTCTTAGCATCTGTGGCAAACGCATGTTAGGTGGACTAGATGCCCTCCACAGCTCCTCTCCAACAATGCTCTGTAATTCTGTTACCACAGAAGGCTGCTGTAGGACATGTCATTACAGCCACCTCTGAAGGAGCAGTTACCACCCTAGTAACCAGAGATAAGACCAGGTAATGGTCCAAGCAGTCTTTTTCAATCTGTTTTGAATGTGTGCACTCTTAAGGTAGTCCTGGAAACACAGCCACAGGAAAAGAAAGATGGACTGAGAATACTTAACATATTATATTTAAACAGTAACGTAGCCATTTTCCTTTTATCCTTCTCTCCTGAAGTTCACTGTGACCAGAATCTCTGCAGAAGATTATGGTTATGCCAAGTTTGAAGTATACTCTACCTGTTGTTTGAACAAACTACAAATACAAGGATTTGAAGTGGCTTTTAAAGTGAAAACCTGCCCTTTCCCTGATGACCTAAGGACAATGAATAGCTGAAGGTGTCTCCCCACCCAGCCTTTCAACAAAAAGCCTGATTGTATACCAAAGACAAATCTATGAAATATCCCCTTGAGAGAGAACCTGCTGAGCAAGTCTTGGGTGACAGCTGGAGAGGTGTCGGACAGCTGGCTGCCCGTCACAGCCCGCCTTTGCTTTCTCCATGGCATGGAGTAACAACTCCAGATCGGCACTGGCCTTTCTCCTCGAAGGGTGGGGTCCCTGCAGCATGTTCAAGTCCTCGGTCCTCTGAAGCATTCCCTGCTTCTCACTGTACAAGCAAGTAGCAAGCTTTCTACTACACTGCAAGTGGGAGTTCAAGTGACTGCTATTGTCATTTCTATTTACTCATAATCTTCAGGCAGGAGAATGGGAGAACCTTCACCTTAGTTGAAATAGTCTATGCTTGGTCTTTGCTCAGGACTAAATTATTATAGAGAGCTTATGGGAACAACACTGTTCATGTTTTCTGAGCAGGAAGACTGTGGAAAAATAGAGGATTTTCTGACAAGTGAGAGAAACAATCTCCCTATTCTTTGGCTGGGGGCTGAAAGATAACAACTTGCTCAGACAC